AATTTTTTGACTTTTAAACATCATGCTTCAAATTTATCAAGTGCCACCTTAATCTTTGTTAGCCCAGAATTCTACATTATTAGGCAAGATCTCCTACAACTTAACGGACTTGTGCTAAGTTGTAAATTGACAAATGAGGAATTGAGGATTTATCAAAATTCACAAGGTGGTTTTTATTGGTCGGGCTCAAGAAGGAATGGCAACGGGGCGGGGATCATATTCCCTATCCCTGACCCTAATTCTGAAATTAACCCTCCATCCTCGTCCTTGATCCCTATCATGGATAAAATTTGTCCTCTATCCCTAATCCCTGATGGGAATGAGCTCCCCTCGAGGACCCGAATCCCCGAATTTATTTTAGATAACAATATTTTTTTGAAAAATAAATTTACTTAAAATAGTTAAAAGTTTTAAATTATAAATAATATTTTAAATATGTTTATATATATAATCGGGGTCAGGGTGGGGTAGGGACCTCAATCCCCATCCTTGACCCCAACCCTGATCGAGGATTCCTATTAATCCCTATCCCCGTCCCCACCCTGCCAAAACAATCCCCATCCCCAACCTAGTGGGGTCGGGGAAGTTGGGTCCCTATCGGGGATGGGGAAAATTGCAATCCCTAGGCTAAAAAAAAAAGTGAGAGTGGGTGGTTATCCTATTTGAAGATTTCAAGGGTCTCCAAATCCTCTACTGGCCAATGAAGAGTAAGGATGCAAGTCGAACGGGTTAAGTCGGGTTGAGGCCAACCCTAGTCCAACTCCAATCCTAAGTTCTAAACACTCAACCCTAACCCTAATTCTAACTAAATTCCTTCAACCTTAACCCAACCCATCATTCTCCCATCCTTTAAAATCTCATAGAATTTCTCCAAATCTTAATTCAATTTCATTACATATGTTAATCCTATGTTTTATTAGTACTCATTTGTTGATGTTTTTATTGGTTCTTTTAATACAAAATTCAGAAAAATAAGTCTTTCAAATGGCTGTAGTTTTATTATGACTTATGATTTATGATAGATCTTTAATGGGCTGCAAGCTACGGGCGGCAATCAGTAGAGAGGAAATGAAAAATAAAATATTTAAAAGGTAAATTACAAAGACCCCCTTGTACTATGGGGTCAGTGACAAAATCCCCCCTGTACTTTTTTTTTGTGACAAAGACCCTCTTGAACTTTAGCCGTTAGACAAAGACCCCCTTCTGTTAATGTTCTGTCAGTTAACTTAAAAAAAAATCATCCGACTGTTTAAAAATTTTTTAAATATCTAAACTACCCTTTTTATACTGTTCATTGTCTTCTCCATTAAATTTAGGAGTCCATGCTTGTTCAAGAGAACCCATAGAACCCATCTCAAATATCTGTAGCAGAAGCTCTTATCATGTTTTCTGTGCTTGTTCAAGAGCCTCATCTTGACAAATAACCCCTTGCTCTTGGTGGATCTTTTGAGCTCCACCATCTCATCGTATGTTTAAAAAAAAAAAAGAAAAAAAAAAACAAGAACCAGAGATGAATTCAGATGTTGAGATGGGGCTTTCGTTTTTAGTTGGAGATGAAGTGAGGATGAAGACAGACATGGAAGAGATGGGTTGGTGGTGGTTCATTTTTACATCATGGTATGTGAAGTGAAACTCAAAAAGAAGGAAAACAATAGGTTAAATAGGGTTTAAGAGAAAATGGGCAAGAAAAAGAAAATAGAAAAAGTTTAGCGGAGTATTTTGGTAATTTAATGCTTTTTGTCATCTGACTTAACGGCCAAGGGGGGTCTTTATCGCAAAAAAAAAATGTACAAGGGGACTTTGTCACTGACCCCATAGTACAAGTGAGGTCTTTGTAATTTACCTTATTTAAAAATAAGGTTTTAGTCTTTCCAATTAAGATTAAGTATCATGTATCTAAACAAATTAATGCATGATACATCATATATAACAAATATTTGTATATGACTTGTGCTATAGAATTGGGTCCAGTCCAAGTCAACGTAATGTCAAATTTATGAATTTCAACTCTAACCCCAACCTGCGCATCAACCCAACACAATTCAGACTTTTTTGGATTGAGTTTGGACCAACCCAACCCAAATTGAGGATACTCTACACCCCCAATGATATGATGGGAGTGTTTTGATTGGTCAAAGCTCTTCTGTCTAAATCCGTTTTCATCTTTCTGAACAATTTGGCAGGATATCATTGGACTATGTACAAGACAAGATCCTGTCCTCAAGGGTGTAAATCCTTTTTAAGTTAAAAATAAATAAATAAATAAATAAATAGTGATTGGCAATTGGTTTGTACACTGCCTGTCTTTCTATAAAATGGTCGAAATTATACCTTTTAATTTATACTAAAATATTTCAACCAATATTGTTTTCCCATTTACAGTGAAAACTGAGAACTTTATTTTTGACCACTTCTAATTTGTTTGCTTTTAGTGAAATTGACAAGGAAACCAAAGTTTTCAGTATAAAATATTTCAGCAAACAGAGACAATGAAATAGTGAACATCTTGCCTCTCTTACAATGCTCAGAAATCAGAACATCCTTCTCAATTCGGAGTTTCTGACCAACAAGATACTGCTAGACCTGAAAACTTAAATGTTATGGCCATTTTCCCCTTTCTTCCATTCAGTAAATTATTCACTTGAAAGCTGATTTTAATTGCACGTAAAGCAGAAGAAAAGACATTGATTCCCTTCAACAATGATTTTGGGGGAAAACACCACAGAATCACAATTTTTAGAAAACCAAGGGATTTCTTGGTATTTCAGCCTGGCCCAGCCCAAAAATTTCGGGCTTAGGCCTAGGGTTTGTGTTTAAGCCCAGCTACACACCAAGCCCACAAATTTCAGGGCTGGTCCTAGGCTCAATACTTCAAGACTAGTCCGGGCCTGCATTATATATACAACCCCTGAATTTTGCAAAAAGGCCAATTTTGACCTTAAAAAATACAAAAAAGGTCAATTTTTACGACAGATTTTGGTAAAAAAGTCATTCATAGGCAAAAATAGACATTGATGGATTTATTAGACAATGAATAAAATAATAAAAGCATGCTTATGTAACACTTCTAAAGTTTCCAAAAAACACTTAAAACCCTAAAGTTTGAAAATGGGACACTTTAGATGTTAAAAAAATCTATTAGTTAAAAAATAAACTTTATTAACCTTGAAATAAATTACTTAAAGGATTTTATCAAATTAGAGTCATTAAAATTAGAATAGTTAATAGTAAATAATTAACAACATTTAAGAGTAAATTATTACCTAAACACTAATTTAATGAGGGTAACTAATAGTAAATTAACAATCACTTAATTTACTTATTTACCTGAATTACCTTTGATTGTTTAATTACTCTATTTGCTTAGCTTAATTGACAATCAATTCGTTAATTCACTTAGTTGACTTATTAACTTATTTAGTTTATTTAGCTTAATTTCTTTAATAGTACTATTTACTTAGCTTAATTTACTTAATCCATAATTAAATCGATTAACTTTGTTTATTTAATTTGCTTATTCAATTGTTTAATTTATATAGTTGGCTTAAGTTATTTATTTAATTTAATTAGCTTAATTTCTTTAGTTGCAAAATTTACTTAGTCTAATTTACCTAATCAATTAGTTAATTCACTTAATTGCATGGTTTTAAATTTGTCATTGACTCGAGCAGAACTACTTGACCTAGGAACCATCAATTGTTTATTACTTGGCCCAAGATGTTTAATAAAAAATGTTGACTCGAACCGTTGACTTGGACCATTAAACCACTAAATTGTTTGGCCCGGTAAATGGTTTTTGGGTCAATTTTTTATTTTTCAAAACGTCCTAGTTTGATTTGTTCAAACCGGATTATTGAACTGATTGGTGGCCCAAGTGGTTCAATTATGGGTTGATTTCTAAAACCTTGCTTAATTGGCTTAATTAACTTTGTTTATTTAATTTAATTAATTAGCTTCATTTCCATAATTAATTTAATTGTTTAATCTACTTAACTAACTTAATTAGTGTAAATTTTTTAGTTTAGTTAATTAATTTTATACCATCATAGACCCTGAAGTAATTTACTGAAATGATTTTATTAAGTGGTTCAGACTATTCGACCCGGGAACAGTTTAGGCAATCAGTTCCATTTCACCTTTAACCCATTCTCTGACTAAAAACCATTGACTTGGTCAGCAATTCACTGACCCTGGTGGTCAAAACGTCAATCCATTTGACCTAGACAACAGTTTTGGCACTTTTTTTATTTTTTAAGTTGGAATGAACCATCCATTCAAATCGAACGGTTGAACCGTTAACCCAAAAACCGGTGGCCAAAGCGGTTGTGGTTTCAGGTCGGTTTTTGAAACATCGGAGAAAAGTAATACGCCCGGCTCATGTAAGGCGGGGCCCTATAGCCCCTGTTGTAGGTGTAAAGCCCGGATCGGCGCCGGCCTCCATCATCACCCTTAAAATGGAGCCCAAATAAAAGGTCCGAATACGAGGAAAATAAAAAAAGGTTTCCATAAGATCACAAAAGCGAAATAAAGGGAAGTGTCGTGTCGCCGTGTCGGCAGTCTGTGGGCCAACCTGTAATTGTCCGACACGGAGATCGATTTGCGACGGTCATGGCGCAATCTCATCTAAATGGAATCCTTTTCTAGCCCACTCCCACCCACGCTCCCCTTCACGTGAATTTTTGAAATATCTTCCCCACCTTTTGCGTTCAAAAGACCAGATGCCCTACTACCTACTACTTTACTCCAACCGTTCAAATAATACTTCTTAATTGCACCATGAATTGTATCCACTTGAGCCTCCATGCCATCAAAACCCTCTTTCAGTCCTCAGCCGCTTCTACTTTGCTCTGGCCTCTGGTCCACAAATACAAACGCTATCCACAGCTACAAATAGACGAATAGTTAGCGAATTGCATTCAATGATTCAAATCAGATTCAACGTTTGGTTTTTGCATTAATTAGGAGGCCATGCAATCTCTGTGCAAACAGACAACCACTTCTGAAAGTCAAAACCTTTGCTTTGCTAGATTTCAGTATTCGGTAGCTTAATCCCTTGCCTCTAACAACCCCATTGGGTGATTTGGGTCCTCCCACCGTCTCTTTCTTCTGGGGTGGGAATTGGGATCCGGACCATAGTTTTTAGAGTGAAGCAATGTAGGGTCCCACTCCCACCCGACAAAAAAAAGCTCATCGGCCTTATCTGCTTTACACTCTTCCTTATCTCTACAGTCCAGAGGTTCAGATTCGACTCTCCGCCCCGCCACACAAAGGAAAACAAAAAAAAAAAAAAAAAAGAACTTCTGTTTTTCCTTCACCGCCCCAAACACGGAACAATCAAAGCAGCTCCGGCGGTTGATTCAGCTCACGGCCTTCCTTCGAGGGATCGAGAGAACTGATGGGTTTTCACTTTTTCACTTTTCTTCTCCTTTTCTCAACTTTTAGTCTGAAAACAGAGCTGCAAGCCTGGAATAGCGCAGGTAGCTCGACCCCAGTGATCGGCAAACACAGAAACATGACTCTCGTTGGCTGAGTTGGGAGAGTCGGAGACGTAAAACGACGCTTAGGATGCAGGCGGAGCACAAGTTGTCATCTTATATTGGATTTGGAATTCCTTCTTATCCACCGTACTACATTAATTAATGCAGTGAAATCAGTTTTCTTCTGCCCAACGTGGGTTTCGGTGCGTTTGGCCTCTCGAAGCAAGATCGAGACACGTAGCCTTGTATATAATATCCCACGCGTCGCATCTCGCATGGTTTGTAGTATAGCCCAACAGGAAAAATGGAAGGAAGCTCTCGTCCAACTTCCTTGCTCAGAGAGACTGTAGTCTGTAGCCAGTAGCGACCATAACATATGTGAATTGGCATCACGTGGCTTGCTCTTGGGCCCATTGATCAATGAATAATTGGGGGACGCGCTTCAATCATTTGGGCTGGTTTTGTCTGGTTTCATGGCGGAACAAAGAGTACACGGTTCTGTTATCAACCATGAATTGAAGGCCAAATCAAGGCAGCTCCCACATGACAATGAACCAGAATTTGCAAGCATCGCTCTTGGTCCTGAATGGGTCCATTTCAGGTTGTGATGAGGTGTGCCATGCTCTGGCCAGGCTAGCAATCCAAAAATGAAGCACCAGAGTTGCAGAGTAGAGGAGCAAATTCGGATTTCAACTAATGAGGCAAGTTAGCCTGGTTGAGATTAGTTTATGACCTCTCTGAACATGGCCTGATTTGTCAGCTTTGATGGATAATTTGGCAACCTCAACCTGAAGACAACCTGGCTTAGTAGACAAGGTTTTTCAAGAACAGATCAAGTTGGGTTAAGAGGCTTTTGCATGGTCAAGTCTGGTTGGAGCCATGAGATATAAGACAATGTTTTCAATTCCCATGCTCAATCTTCAACTGCAACAATAATCAATGGTTGAAACATGCAAGCAACAGTGAGGATTGAGAAAGAAAGAACCCCTTAATTAAAATACCGTTTCTTTTGAATATGCAACAGATGGATTCATGGTTTAATTAACCAGAATAATTGTACTGAGAAACAAATAAATTAATGAGGTACAGAATCTAGAGAAAAACTAATCCAACTTGTATTCTTTGTCCCCAAAAGTAGAGAACAAATTGAGGACAGTCCTACTTGGGATCTTGAAAGCCAGATCAAAGCTTGTCGAGAATGAAATAGAGAAACAAACAGAAGACCAGAAATGAAAGAAATTGGCCAATTAGATTCAAATAGCTCCAAAAGAGGTACTGCCCATTACATGAGCCCCCCATAATTTACAATTTCTTGTATGTAACTGTTTCCAGGAAAAAGTATTAGGAAAGAAAAAAAAGAAATGGTCGGCACCAAAGAATTTCCGACAACAGCATAAATCTACAAAAAAAAAAATCTATCAATTTCTAATGGTTAGGATCTCTACAGTCCATACTATCAATACCTTCTTCACGAATCTCCCCCAACAGCTTCTTTCCTTGCAAGAATTGGCAATGCTGGTGGGTGGCATTATTTCTAATGTCGCCTGCTATGGAAGATGGTTTCTTCCTATGTACAGTTATGGCAGCTCGCCCAACTGACATGGTTAGCCATGCCGGAAGCTGGATCAGATCAACTTTTATTGAGCGAGAAAGCACTTGTGACTTGTCGATGTTGGACCCGGTTGGTTCATGAAAGAGATGATTAATTAATATCTGATTGATCTTTCTCAACTCATTCCATATAAAGCCTCAGAGCCAGGATCATCATCAAGAGGCAGATTTAGATCAGGCAGAACAAAGAGACTCTCCCTGCCGACAGCATCCTTATTTTCTACTTCATGAGAATCAGAAGGTGGAGACGGTAATACTGCAGCTTGAAGCTCGGTATCTGGGACAGTGGTAGGAGAGACTTTGGGAGTGTGATCAACAGAAATTGCTTCAGCCTGCTGGGGTTCCTCGCAGGTTTCTTTCTTAGGCGTGCTTGGTTTGTTTGCTGATTGGATTTGCAAATCAAGCTGCAAGGTTATAAAATGAAATGAAACGTTAGAAATTTGTTCCATTTCTGAACTTTTATGTATTTCACCAGCAAAACAAGAAAAAAAAAAAAACAAAAATGTCCAATCACATTGTATAGAAGTCAGCAGGTGCTTTGGGACTTTTATCCTTTTCCCTTGAACCATAATGTTTAAATGTAGTCATTCAAGCAACAACTTTCGGGTCTGATAAAGGAGATATTTTAGGTTAAAATTTGAAAACCACCAATTAACTGTGTAAATCTGATCTCGTCTCCTGTGTGAACTTAACAGGTCTTTGACTGTCTTGCCATGAATTGGTCGATCAATTCAGTTGAATTTTTTACCCAAGGAATTATCATTTGTGAATCTCAATGAAACGGTCTGCTGTAATACAATGCTGCTCTAAATTATCTAACAAAAATATCACAACTGATAAAAATTTCACTGATCAAATATAGTCTCTACATTTTTATGACAGGTTTTCCACAACATCTTCATGTAGTAAGTCTGTACGTGTGAAATATATAAAATAAACAGAATTCAAAATTTAAAGATGAATATTTAATAGCTTAGATTCAGAAAGAAATATTTTTCAGAAGAATTGAATAACATTTTAACAGGGGTATCGTATGCATGTTTAGGCATTCATAATTTCTTTAATCTATAGTGACATCACATGACATAACACACCAACAGAAACAGGTTTAGATATGGCAACAAGACCAAAAAGAGTGAAACAAAAGAAAGGGAGAGAGCCGTTCACCTTCATTCTCTTCAAGCTCTCATTTCTTGTCCTCTGTTCCTCCAAGGTGATCCTTAGTGCCGCCAACTCCTGTTCGACAAAAATGGGTAAGAGGCCATATACAAAACTGAGCATCCCCAAATCACCAAATTCATCAGAAGGAAAACGAAAGCAGGAAAGCAACACAAGAATTCACCTTTTTCAAATGGGTTCTTTCCTTCAACAATAAACTCTCCTCATCTTTAAGTTCAGCAAAAGTCTGTGAATGATCAATAAATAATCTGTTAGTTCAACTTTCAACCAACCTTCCTCCCTCGTAGCCAAACCCATCACATTCATAAATTTCAGCATAAATTACCTTCTTCTTCCTTGATCTCCTGACTGTTGCGACTTCGCTTGTGTGGGTAACCTGAAAAACGCCATTATAAAACCATATGAACAAACAAATTCAAAATGGGGATGCAATTAAAAGAGATAAAAAAAAAAAGAAGTCGATTTTGTCATCAGGCATCAGCAGACGCACGAAAGGTCGGGTCTGAGTGAATAACCGCCGAACCGAACAACGGTTTAAAGAGTGGGTCCCACTACTAATAGAATAGCTGATGAGTGATGTGATGACGAGCGGTTTGGTGTCTCGGAACAGAAAAATCTGGAAAGAACAAGTAAGGGATCGGACGGATTAGATCATTTGACGACGGATATAATCCTAGGCGAAGAAAAGGGAGTAGTAATTCCCAAGGCCTCACGCCCCGTAGTGACCGGGGACCGGTCGTCTCCCCTAGTCCCCTCCCTTTGAAAGAGAGAGAGGAAGGACCAAATTGAAGGGAGCCAGGGAGCCACAGCAACCAACAACACCGGCTCACATCCAGTGGGAGTGTGGGACCTACCCCACACGCGAATCGGCGAAAATCTCCCATACTCCGTGAACCATGAGATCACCGAAAATGGGACTTGACTTCAGCCTAAAACAAGGTAGGGCCCACCGGATGATGATTGGCGAATCCCAACCCTAGACCACTACAGAGAACAGAAGTCCGCCGGGCGCCACCTGTCTTCCCATCAGCAACCAGGTGAGGTGAGGTGAGGTGCGTGGAACATGCGAGAGCGAACCGCTCGCGCTCCCGAACCGGAGTCGCCTCGAGATCCGGGGGGCTTGACTTCCCACGGATGGCAGGAGATGGGATTTCAATTTCGTTAACTAATCTTCGTCAACAAGCAACGAAATCATTTCTTTTATCTTTTATAAATATAAGAAAAGAGGCATCAACGAGAGGATAGCAGAAATGATAGATCGATAAAAGCTCAACACCGGCGCTCACACGTAATAATAATTCCCATAACAACACCTTCAACAGCAGCTCACCACTAACAACACTACACCAAACCAAACGCATACCTAACGTCAACACCTCAACTCTCTCTCTCTCTCTCTCTCTCTCTCTCTCGGTCTGCCAACCTGCTTGGTGGGGACCACCACCACAAGACATCACGCCACACACGAAATAATAATAAAATAATAGGCACACCCCTGACGGAGAGGCCCCTATTTATGACTTGTCGAGGATAAAGAGGGTTTTGACTCTGGCCATGGGCGTTTTCGTCATTTAAGAAAAGGTAAACAAGTTATTCAGAACCCTAGACAAAAAGAGAGAGGAAGAAGAGAGTGAATGACCGCGCGACGATGACCTGCCTAGATACTTTCCGAGTTCTCGGTGATGACTGATGACCAAAGCCTTGTTCTCTGCCTGGCTGACGGTGAGGCATCCGCAGAATTCAGGAGGGTAAAATGGACAATTTGCCCTGAACTGGCTACTCGGTGCTGGAATTCACTGTCTTCACGAGGGTAGTCTAGTCCGCTCAATTACTAAGGGGATGTTTGAAACCGTGGCCGTTTTTCTGAAAATGGACCATGCCACGGCCGGAGATAATGGCCGATCCGTTCCCGAAAATGACCAAATTACCCGGGGATCGACACATGATACATCACTTCGCCAGTTCATCCTACTCGTTTCTTTTGCACAAAGCAAAAAGCTATCTTCTCCTACCGAAAAGAAGACGAAGGAAAAAGGAATGCGAAAGAAGGGATGTAATAATAATCAAGTAAATCAGCCTAAGAGCCCAACGATTTGATGTAAATACGTCCACTCAACAGGGATTTTATTGTCACACGAAAAAAAAAATGAAAGAGAAAACTTTGAAGAGAAATCAATCCGACGAGGTCGGCGGACAGAGGACTCCCACGTACTAACTACCAACGAAGCAACGAAGTACACCATCTAAACCCCTAGAAACTCGGACCGAGAAAGATCCGGTACCGGAAAACCGACAACGACGGGAGAGAGAAACGAGGGACACGAGAACGCAGAAACTAACCTTAGATCTCCCACCGCTCGACCGCTTGACCGGTTTGCTGGACTCGTCGCAGCCGTCACTGGCTCCACCGCCACTAATATACGTGCCACCGCTCCACGAGAGTGGGGTGGTGGGACTCGCCCGTGCCGACGACTCGCCTTCCTTCTTCGCCTGCATAACATTGCATCTCAGTACCTGCTTCGTCCGTGGCTGTCTTACGCCCCACTCGAGGGGAGCCAGCGCCGCCAGCTTCCTCACCGCCGGGGACACGTGGGCTTTCGACTGGTTCAGCTCCATCAACAACTCGACGATCAAACAGTCGTCCAGCATGGCCGCTTTAACCCACTCGTCTTCCTTCATCTCGTTATCGGTAGCAGAGGAAACAGACAGAATGAGGAGAGAGAAGAGGAACAGAGAAAAGAGGAAAAAGCGAAGTGTGAAGGAGAATATGGTGGCGAAGAATGCCTGTTGGTTTTAAATAAAGAATTTATATATCCGGTTTTCCGGTTTTATGTGGCGTTGGAGTAGATGCCTTCTCTATACACATCCAAGGGCCCACCACTGGCACGTGTCAGTGGCTGGCTCGTCCCCTCTCTTATTATTCTAATCTTAGTATTCAGATGTGACATCATAATTTTAGGATCCACAGACAATCTACAACTCCAGATTTTGTCGCTTGGATTGGAATATTCTCTTTGCACGGTGATAAACAGCGGAAAATTAAAGATTCTAATCCGAGCGTGAAGGATCGGTGGAGATAGTGGGATTTTTAGTTTCGCACGCGCGAGTATGTTCCACCCGGCATGATTAAAGCTGACGTGCATGGCAAGCTAGCCTTTCGGTGGGTGTTGGGATTGGGTTGTTGGAGTTGCATAAATTTTCGATTAGTTTTTGTACTTTTAACTCGAGTGACAGTTTGGTCCAAAAACTTTAAAACTTAACAATCTAAATCGGCCATGATGCTGCTTGTGATCCGATACAACATGACGGTCTATGGGCTGTGCCAGGTTCAATATGATCATATAGACTGTGTTAGGTTTAGGGTTTTAGGTCCATAAGCCAGACAGACAGCATGATCGAGTGGATCGTGCTGCCCATGACCCGTATGTTAACACGGCCCCACCTATGGCTCGTGGTATAGTCTAGCACAACCTATATATATTATTTATGTATATTATATTAATAAAATAAACAATTGTTTTTAATTTTATTATATTAATTTATTTGATTATTGTATATATAAACTATTGTATACAACAAAATTCATATAAAATTAAATTAAAATTTTTCTTTTAATTTTTAAATAAAAACTTTGACTTGACCTGATCCAAAGCTTGACCCATGGTCTAGTCTGACCCATCGCACAGCATAGACCCACACGGGCTTGGACCATGGGCCATGCTGGACTCACCCCCGAATTATCCCAAAAAAGAATGACACAGCTCGGGATGGCCCACACAAACCCACGAGCCGACATGGCATGGCCCGTTTTACACTTTTCCAAACTTTCGAAATGCGACAATAAAGTTCGAGACCAAATTGTCGCTCGAACCAAATTACAGGATATTCATTGAAAATTTTCCCTTATTTTTTTTCAACACAGGACTTCGAAGGCACGTAATCAGGTAAGTACGAGTTTTGTAGACCGTCAGATTGGAATACGAGGGAATCAATGCGGTGCGACTCGTGCTTTTGAGAGGGAGTGCTTTCTCTGAGCCATTCTGCCTTTCGGTGTGACAAATACGGATGATGCGAAGTTGCGAAGCATCTGAGGCTGAGTGTTCGATGAACGAACACCAGCCAGATTGCCGATACAATGGAGCGAAGCCGTAAGATTTTCTGAGGAGCAGAGGCTGTTAGGATCTATTACTCTGTTTAGGGGGGTGTCAGCGGTATTCGAAATCTGATATTTGATTAGATTCAATAAATATTCAAATTCAATCAATTATTTAATTTTTATATATAATTTATATATAATAATTAAATTATATAAATTATTTATATATTTATATACTTTATATCAATAAAATATTTATTTTATATATTTATTAATTATCTAAAATAATTAATTAATCAAATTCGAATTGAATCAAATATTCGAATATTTAATCGGATTCGAATTCGATCCATTTACACCCCTAATTTTGTTGGTGGTGTCCGGATGTAGTAGGCATGTTAGGTAAGCACAATGAGTGAGCACCTAATAGCTATATAACACCTGTCCCAGCTAATTTGTTTTTCATCTAAACATTTTTATTTCATTAGAATTAATAAGTAAAAAACAAAAAAGAGAAAATCGTAGAAGAGGAGACATTCCTGAATCAAAATTTTGGCCTGAGCAACAATGCTGCAAGAGACTTTTAATTCGATCCGATTTGGGATTGTTAGCACTCGAATGACGATGATTTTTTTGGATTACAGTCGGGATAGCACCAGTTCAAATAACAGAGTTCACAGAGTGGGAGCTAGATTGATGATTAGAATGATAGAACAACGACAGTGGGGTGATAAGAAAAAAAACTAGGGAAGTAAACGGGACTGGAAGAGGTTGGGTTTCTGTTAAAATCGAATGAAAATTTTGATAAGGATTGCATCGTAATAAGTCATCTGTTCTTCTTATGGGGAACAATGAACATAGAGAACTACGACTGTGGTTCGTGGGAGGAGTAGGAAAAGGAAGGATAAAAAATAGAAAAGATAAGGGAAGAAAAGAATGAGGGAAAAGAGAGGAGAGGATGAGAGAAGAGAGATCACATGGAGAAGCTCAAGATAACCGCTTCAGGTTCGCCTTTGGAGAGAGAAGATAATGAAGAATAAAAAAAAAATAATAAAATAGTAGATAATTCCTGACTAACGAAACAAAAATATTTAGATGAAAACATATAAGTTGGGACAGATATCACACAGCTATTAATTAGGTATTCACTCATTGTAATTACCTTACGTGCCCACTACATCCGGACCTCAGGTGGCGGGACGAAACAACGGGAATCTAATGAAGACAACGAGCAGTAAATGGAAATTGGAGCATTCCTTTGAAGTCAGCACTTAAACGGCTGAAGGTGTTGGATTGGTTGGAGTCGGATTCTGTTTCTGGGGCACTAAAATCCCGATCCGACGGTTTCAGCATAGGGGTTTTGGGTCCACATAACTTGTCAGTTGGCAGCTTTGGATGTTCCAGAAAAATGTTCTCTGTCATGTACCGTCCAATTAAATGCACTAATATTGTATTTGTGGAGAAAATATATGATGCTCAAAATAAAAGGCTTTGACCAATCACAATTCCTACTGAATTTAGATTCGCCATACTGGTTTACTACTTGTATGATGCGGGTTGATTGGTTAATTTTGTAAGTTTTCCTACTATCATGTCTTTTCATCATAGTGGAACCCTATTTTTAGAGGAATCCAGATTTCCTTTTTACACCCATATCACAAGTTGCACCTGTGCATTAAAACTTAAGCAGCTTTTGGAAACCATGCAAATATGTTGAGTGTACAACGGTTCATATAAATTATAAAATCGGGTTAGTTTTGCATTAATAAATTTATCTTCTTACCAAATAGATTTTCAGCTATAATAGATATAAACATGGATTCCAATAAAGCATATATATATATATATGCTTTATCAAAAGCCCACTTAAATATAAATTTACTTATTTTTTATTAATGTATTTTTACATATTATTGTCATAGTAAACATGCATTGGTCTGTCATTTGTCAATGCATAAATGTAATGTTGCCAAACACAGGCAAAAGTGAACCAGAGTGCAAATTTACCCCAAACTGGGATTTACACTCCATTTGCATTGTTTTCAAATACAACTTAGGGATAAGTAAATTGCATGCTGTCCACCTCAGAAATCTAAAATTACAGTCCCCTCCTAGTCTACTAGTAGCGCCCCCCCTTCCGAACCGCATCCTGGCCATGGATTTGACATCAATCCACAGTCAGTATCCATCCCACCTGTACGGTGGGGCTCATATTTCTGGGGTGGACTGAATAATAAAAACCCCTAAAACTTACAAGTATACGAGATGTTCTCAATTATGAAGTGGATCTGATGAAGAATTTGTGCAGAGGAAATTAGAACTTTTTAAAGTCAAAATTACGGTGCATTCATTTAATATTGACCTTAAAAAAAGATTACAACCAATCATGTTAAAAATGTCACATAATCTATTTTTCATTAATTCACATTTGATAAACCATTTTTATCACTAAGGTTTCACTCACTTTTGAGTAAGTAACCCATGTTCTTTTATTTCCCAAGTAAATAAAACAATGACTCTTTTAGTCATATAAAACTAGGGCTGTTCATAAGAAGGCCCAACCTGACCAAATCGACCAACCTGGACTGACCCAATCCGAGTCGGCTGGGTTTTCATCAGCACGGGTTGGTTTCGGGTTGTGCAAATTCCTAGTTCAAACATGAAGTTCGAAAGCCCATTAGGCCATATAGTTTTTGAATGGTTGCAAGAAACTTTGGATTAGTGAATAGTGATTAATGAACAACTTTTGTGATTAAATTTTCATTTAAATTTTATCATAGGAGATGGCTGAAATGATGTTCAATTTATGACTGTTTTTAAAATTAGCAAGATTTTATCACAAGGATGAACTTAGAACCGAAACTGACCCAAACCGACTCAAACCGATCAGATTGGTTTTGCTTAACACTGGATCGGTTTCGATTTCTATGTTAGGTAACCTGACCAGGTCGAGTCAGTTGAAAAAACCGTAGTAAACCAATCTAACCCGACCCGTGAACAGCCTTGGATAATTTTGTTTCATCAAAGTGTTAGACTGTTAGCAACTTTCCTTTAGGTGAGAATTATTTATCCACTTGGGAGATAAATATCACTTAAACCCAAGTACGTGATATTCAAAAAAAAAAAAAGTTTTTCATTGCCTCACGTTTTTACTGCAGGGTGTAATTCATGCACCATAAATTTTGCTGATAAATTCCAAATCATGGGTATGCAGCACATTACCACCTGAAGTATGAAAAGTTTTAAATACTCTCTCTTCACATGCTTAAGTGGCCTCCACATTATTTTCATTGATTTGGCGCGTGTGGTTAAATTGCTTTCTCCTTTATTCTATATTTTCACTCAAATAAGTCTTTTTTCTTGATTTTTAGGTTTGTAAGGTGATACGTCCATATATTAAAGTAGTTAAAATCACATGTTATAAGCAAAAGAAATCTGATATACTGATACCTCTATTCAAAGAAAAGCTCTCCTTTTAAAATAATATGAAAAAAATTTAAAAAGTCACACGATGAGCACACACGAGCATTTTCAGTCTATTTCCTGAAGGAAGGCTAATTAATGGGGGGAGGTTATTTGATACACTTGCAAATTTTGGGAGGATATTCAAAATTTTTATAACTGAGGTAGTAAAATAATACACCCGCCATCCGTCCAGAGGATTTAAAGATCCAGGGGTAGCT